ATTAATTACAAAGCAATTGCAGGGACAATGAGAATCCCAACAGTTTTTTTTAATTACTTATTTATTTGAATATCAAAGTGATAGCGTGAGAGACAGACAGGGAGAGGTCTTCCGTCTGCTGGCTCACTCCCCAGAGGACTGGCACACGCCAGGATCCAGGAGCTTCCTCTAGGTCCCCCATGTGGGTTCAGGGACCCAAGCACTTGGGCCATCCTCTACTACTTTCTTAGGCGCACTAGCTGGGAGCTGGATTGGCAGTGATGCAGCTGGGACTCAGACTTGCAGCTTTATCCACTGTGCTGCAGGTCCAGGGGATCTGCACGGCTGAATGTTTGCATAGAAGAGCAAGTGACGAAGACCAGCCGAGAAGGTTTTGCTGAAAAGCAAAGACTATGACGTTCAACGGACTTGACGTTGACTTGTAAGGCGGGGAGGAGACGGCATGTGGGCCTAGGAAAAGCAAGAAACAAAGAGACAACAGGCGGGAGCAGGGAGCTCCTGTGAATGGAGAAGAAACGATGTCACACATCATAGCGAGAAAGAGCTGGATATCGCCAGATTCTGCCCCCACCCAGGGCGGCATGCTCTCAGGGGGCTATTCTGAAAATGTATTTGAAAGGCAGAGAATCTCCTACCCACCAGTTCACTCCCCACATGCTTGCAACAGCCAGGGTGGGGCCAGACCCAAGCCGGGAGCCAGGAACTCCGCCCAGCTCTCCCACTTGAGTGGCGGGAACCCGCGTGCCCAAGCCTTCGCCTGCCAGAGGGGAGAGAGCTGTGCTGTACAGCAGTGAGCGACCGGCCGGGAAGGCATGGAGTCTGGTCCCAGCTCAGCTCCTGTCTCAGCCTCCCGCTAACGCAGGTCCCAGCAGATCCCACGAGGCAGCAGGGACAGCTGAGGATCTGGTCCCTCCCACGGCCGTGGAAGACCCGGAGAAGGTCCACAGCGCTCAGCTTTGACCCGGTGGGGAATCAGGGAGGGAACTGTGTGGGAGCTTTCTCTATTTGTTCCTCCTCTCTCTGTTGGTCTAGCTCTCTGAGAAATTGATTAAAAATAATTAGAGGCTAGTGCCATGGCTCAGTAGGTTAACCTTCTGACTGCAGTGCTTGCTAGCTTCCCATGTGGGAGCCAGTTCCAGCCCCAGCTGCTTGGTTTCCAAGCCAGCTCCTGCTCATAGGCCTGGGAAAGCAGTGGAGGCTGCTCAAGTGTTAGGATCTCTGTGGCTTTTGCAGCCATTTGAGCAGTGAGCCAATGGATGGACGATCTTTCTCTTTCAGTAACTTTCAGTCCTTCCAATAAAAATAAGCAAATCTTAAAAAAGTAGTGATCTTTGTTAGGACAAAAGTGTCATTAACTAGCAGAAAGACAAGAATATATCAACACTCTGGGAACTGACTGAGAATGGGCAGTACACCGACAGAAAAAGTTCCAAGGAATCCTTACAGACGAAGCCCCTTTACCAAGGGTGGAGCAGGGCAAGAGGAAGAGGGGCAGTCCAAATAAGAGGGGTCTCCAGGGCCAAGAGGACAGACCCCCAGCGCACTGGGCAATCAGGTGATGCAGCCCCAGTACCCGTCGGGCGGCCGCTTGCCCCTGCATCCCACGCCTCTTCCGAGTGCGACCAGGGTGCGACACGCTGCCGGAGGTGCTGCTTGTTTCTGGTTTGGCGCCAAGTGCAGGGTTATAGATGTGCACGTGACCTTGTGTCATAACACCTGTGACCCACACACGCCTCGTCCACCTATCCACCTTGGAGACCCGTGCCCTCGAGATGACGAGCCAGGTAAGGGGTTGTCACGGCAGCGCTAGACAGCCCACGGGGCTGGAGGCAGCCTCAGAGTGCATCACAGCTGGTGGTGGCTCTGGGCACTGGCAGAGGTTTAAGCATCCTGCTTGCTGGGGGTGGGGTGGGTGCATCCTGGCCAAGTGCTGGCTACTACTGTGACACCATGACCCTGAACAGAGAAAGAGGAATGTGTCTGGAGTGTGCCAGAAGCTTCTGGAAGCAAGAGTTTTGCACACCATTGATTGTTTCCTGGGTAGAGCTGGGAAAACATAATGCTTTGGGGGGAAAAAAAGCAATTTGCAATTTGGTGCAATCGATAGGATGTTGTGTAAATTGAAAAATGACACAAGATGGTCTCATGAATGTGTGTGTGTGCATGAAAGAATAGACCACTCTGGGGAGACTGCCTCTGGGAAGGGAGAGGGATCCAGGCCAAGGGAGGGGCGTGGGGGAGCCTGGCTCTGTATGTCCCTGGCCAAAGCCAACACTGACTCCTTCTGGACCAATATTCAAGAGGTGGGGACCATAGCAATGACTACCTGCATGGGTTTGGAAAATGTCATTAAACAAAATACAAGAAAGTGACCAACCAAGCAAGCAGAGGCCCCTGGAGCGTGCAGGAGGTGCAGGAGGTGGGGCTGTCTCCTCGCCCCTTCAGCTTTGGGGGGTTCTTGCGCCGAGTCCTCCAGGCCCTGTGGCGACACTGTTCTCATGACTGGGGCCATGTTTTCCAAGCTCTTCTCTACGTCCGTGGGCACAGGGCAGAATTTCCAGACAGTGCCCATCCGGAGGCATGGCACAGGTGGGGAGCAAGGGGTTGTGTTTGCTAGGGGTTTTCCCAGAGGAAGACCTGCCCGCCCCAGTTCTAGTGTTGGCAGGGCACCAGTCTTCCTAATGCTTGACCCTGGGGGTAGTTCCAGAGGGGCCCGGTGGGTGGTGCTGCTGGTGGAAGTGGCAGTGTCAGCAGCTGTGGGCATGGCCTTTTGTCCCAGCCCTGTGTGTGGCCAGACCTCAGCGAGTCCAGGGGCACAGGTCCTGGTGTGTACCCCTGTCACTGCTCAGCTTGATGTGGGGCTGCTGCTCCTGTGGGCCTCAGATGGGGCCTTGGGGCTGCTTAGCTGACAGGGGTGGGAGGGCTGAGACCAAAGGGCCAGCAGGTGGGGCAAGTGAGGGCCTCTTGTGTCCCTCGCCTTGGGATACAGAGAGAAAGCAGGGGCACTGGTTGGCATTGTCACTGTCTCTTGTCGTCAAAGCCCCTGTGCCATCAGGGGGGTTCAAGGATCTCACCATTTGTGCCTGTCGTGCTGGGGTGCAGCTTCAGAGAGGAAAGTCCTAACAAGAGAAAACATGGGCAGCAGTGGCCACCAGCTGTGCAAGACTCAGTCCCAGGTGGTGCAGCCAGTGGGGCGTCCGCTGGCTCCCCCACACTCACACTAGGTTGTTGTTGCATCACAGATGGAGCATGCCTGAGACCCCTGTTGTGGCGGTGTCAGATTAAGTTAAGGTTAGGGTTAGGGAGCTGATTAGGCTGGACCTGCTTACAGTCGGAGCCCTCTTGTGGGAAGTGCAGCACAGGGGAAGCCAGAGGGCAGCAGGTGCAGCGGCCATCAGTGAGGTGACCAGTATGCATGGGTTCCAGGAACACACCATGGCACTCCTGCCCCCGGGGACATCCTGTGGCACTCATGTCCCCAGCAACACCTGAGACACTGATGCCTCCAGGAACACCTGTGGCACTCTTGCCCCCTGGAGACCCGGCTGCTGTCTGGGGCCAGTTGTGTGTGTGTGTGTGGGGGGGGGCAGTGGTAAGAAGCCAGCTTAGGGATAATGAAAGGGCACAGGTGCCCCCAGCAGACAAGGCTGTCCCCAGTCAGCCTGCCTCCACCCAGGGCTACAGGCTTTGATCATTTTGCCATCCAGGTGGGAGCAAGGCTGGTGGGGGCATGAGGTGCACAGCTTTGGAGCAGAGCAGGGGTGAGAAAGACTAAGTGCCTGGCTCTGGGGGAGGGATCCGGGGTTACCTTCCTGTGGGTGCAGCACCGACTTAGGGACACTGTCCTCACACTGCCCATAGGCCTGCAGGCCAGCACAGCAGAGGGCGCCCGTCACAAGCAGGTGCGGGTGCCCCCAGACCCAGCCCTTCCCCACAGCCCCTGCAGGTCTCTGTAGGGTGCTCTGTGAAGTGAAACCGCCTTACCACCCCTAAGTTGGCACCCATAACCCCCCACTGGCCCCAAACCTTCTGGCCTCTTCTGTCCCCACTGTGGTTTTGGGGATCGAGGGCTACTTGGAGTCCCTACCTCCAAGATGAGGAAAGCAGGAAGCATGATAGAGTGGCACAGAGGAAGGGGTCAACTGCATCTGCCCCGCACCTTGGCCCAGCCCCTGCACTGCCCTTGCTGGCTCTCAGCAGCCCCCCGAGGAAGGCTGTGTCAAGCCCCTAAGAAAATCGAGGGCCCTCGCCACCCCCCAAAATCCTGTATCCCATGCGGATCAGGGGGGGTCCAGGAGGAGGGGCAGCTGGTCGGTTGCAGGAGCCAAATACTGAGAAAAGCGGGCAGTGCTGACTGGCGGGAGGAACAGGTGGGGAAGAGGTGTTGTGGACCTTGCAGCGACCAGGTGGAGCCTGTCTGGCCTGGCTGCCGCTCCATTTCACTTGCAAGGGAGGGAAACGCCAGGAGAGATCCCGGAGTACTGCCGGGAGGAGGTTGCTTTACCCCCAGCCTCCTCATTCCCAACTTTGCCCTCGAAGAGGGCCGACACCCCCAGCCCGGGGTGGGGGCGTTTGTGTCCCCTCCCAGTCTCGGACTCTCCGGGTACGCGCGCTTCAGCCGCACCCCCAGCCCTCCCGATCCTGCATTCCACCGGCCAAGCTGAGCGTCTCAGACACAGGCTGGTGCGCCCCACCTGGGGGCTGTCTCTCGGTGGGAGCATCTGAGCGCCCAGCCCCACCCCCAAGTCGCAGCCAAGTCGCAGGGTGCTCCATCTCCGCCAGCTGACCATCTCTTCCGTCGCTGCTCCGGGGCGCACCCCGGCACCCTAGGTGCCCACCGCGGGGAGGCTCTGCACCCCGGCGCCGGCTCCACCTGCAGGGTAGCTTGGCCGCCGGCGCGGCCGCGAGGGCGGAGGAGCGGGCGGCGCGAGGGAGGGGCCTGCGATAGCGGCGGCCCCAGCCCGCGCAGCCCGGCTCGGCCCCGGCTTGCTCGGCGCAGCGCCGCGCGCGTCCCCTCGCCGCCGCCTCCACAGCCAGGCGCCCCGGCAGCAGGCCGCACGGACGCAGCGCGCACGGGCCAGCCGGGATGCGCGCCCGGGCTCCGGCCCGCCCCAAGCCGCGGCCGCCGCCCGCCCGCCGCGCGCTCGCCTGACCGCGGCGGCGCCCGCTCGCCCGCCCACCCCCGGCCCCTCGCGTCCGGCCCCGGCCGCCATGCCCGCTCCCCGGGGCCCCGGCGGCCCGCGCCCTTGCTAGGCTGCGGCGGCATGGCCCGCGCGCCCAGCGCGACCTCTGCGGATTGCATCGGTGTGCGGCGGCGGCGGCGGGGCATGCCCAGGGCACCGGGCGCGGCCTTCAATGGGCGAGGACACGGACACGCGGAAAATTAACCACAGCTTCCTGCGGGACCACAGCTATGTGACTGAAGGTAACGTACGTGTTGTCTGAGACCCCCTCCGGCCGGCCGCGGCGTGGGGATGCCGTCGCACCGAATGCCCTCCGAAGGTGTGCACCGCGCGCTGTGTGTCGTGTGCCCCGGGCCGGGGAGGGGAGGGAGCCCGAGGGTCGGGGCCTCCTCCGTGGGGCGCGGCGCCTGGGCCAGGGCAAGCGACCTCTTCCGCGCCGCCCTCCGGGAGGCAGCTTTGCGCTCCCGGGCCGGGTAGGGTCCTGGTCGTGCCCTGGCAGTCCCTGCGGTGAACCTAGGGAACAAATCCTGGGGACCACCGAGGGTTGAAGGTCTAACGCTTGCCATTTTAGCCTTCTCCAAAGCCCGCAGAATCGTCTAGGCTGTCTACTCCCTGGAGAAGAGGGACCCAGGAGAGAGGGAGAGACAGAAATCCACTGCCCGCAGCCTCCCGAGGGCGGGTCCGAGGCTGGGGCCCCCGTTCGTGGGAGGGAAGGGGAGGCTGGCTGGGGCTGATGCTTTATTCCTGGTGAGTTTTCCGCCAAGGACAGGAGCGGGGATCCGGATTACGTTCCCGGGGTGGCACACGCCATCCCCAGCAGGCCTTGCATTTACATCCCCAACCTGAGACCGGCTGAGTGCGGAGCTTCCGCCCCCACTAGTCCCACAACTTCAGGGTCCCGGGGAAAGGCGGGGGTGGGCAGTGCACCGAGCCAGCTTGCGCCACCGGGACTCCCGTGCTGGGGACCTGTCCAGGGATGGGGACCGGCGGCCTCCCTAGAGGTTCCTCCTTGTGCATGGGGGGAGGGGCTGGTGCGCGTGGGTAACCGTGCCAGGGAGCGCGCGTGGGCCCAGCGCCCGGCGCGGACACCGGGTGGTGTCTACCGCCCCGGTGGTGCCTGGCGCCGCCTGAAAAAAGGGAGTGGGAGCCGAGCGCTGCGGAGGCCGTGGGCCCTGCGGGCTCGGCGCGGAGAGGGAAGCTGGCGGCGGCGCTCCTCGGCTGCGGAGGAGAAGCGCTGAGTCACGCTCGCTGCGGGCTGGGCGTGCGGGGAGGGGGCAGGGCTGCCCGGGGCTGCGGGCCGGGTGCGGGCTGTACCCCAGGCCGTGGACCTCTGCGCCTGCGGGTCCTTTGTGGCCCGCGCGGGGCAGGCGCGCGAGGACGGCGCGGGTCTAGGCTGTCCTTTACGCTCGCAGCCTGCGGAGGGTGGGCAGAGGCTGCGGGCTGGTGGGAGGGGTTCCCTGGGGTGCCCACGGAGCCTCTGTTTGCTCATCTGTACACTGGGGGTGAGGAGGCAGGACAGGAGGCGGGACTGCGGGCTGATGGCCGAGCCGCAGGGGGCGGTTCAAACCTGGACTCCGCCTCCAGCACACCCGGGAGGCGCCTGCCTTGACCACACCTTAGGCCTGGACTAAGATCCACCGCCCTTGTGCCCCCTGGAATTCTGCCAGGGAACCCTGTGACCATGAGCGGGACTGTGGGTCGGGGACGCGCTCACTTCTCCGGCCTCGGTTTCCCCATCTGTGAAGTGGGAGGGGCAGGGTTTCTGAGAATGGCAGTCGAAGCTGTGCAGGGGTAACCTGAACAGGGCAGAGTTTCCTGGGCAGGAGACGAAGACTCCCTTTGCCCCAGAGTCAGGTGCGCAAATTCCTGGTGCCTCTGGGTCCACATCCCCCCACTGCTCTCTGGCTATCCGGGTCTACTTCCTGTTTGTCCAGACTGCAAAACCTGGCCTCCTGGTTTGGATTCGAGGCCCTGTCGGCTTGGCTGGAGGAGTCCCATTTTGTTCAATTCCAAGTGCCTTGGGGACCAGTTGGGATTTGTTAGTCATCCCCACCACCTCGATACGAATTAGAGCAGCTCGTGGCTTGGTGTTGGTGGCGGTGCTTTCTCCGAGTGGAGTTTATGTCCAGGGTCATGAGCGTCGTTAGAAGCAGGTGTGGGCTGCTAGGGGGCTGAAAACTGTCGAAGAGTGGCTGTGATCCACAGTGCAGCCATGGAGGAAGGCGCTTGGGGTAGGAGGATGCCGGGGGTCCTGGGAAGCCAGGGGGGGTCCCAGCAGGGGGTGGCCCTGACCCTGCTGCTTGGCACTGCAGGCCTGTGCTTGCAGGCATCCTTCGGCCGCTGGACGTACAGAGTCTCCAGGGGCCTTCTCTGTTTGCTGGACGTACAGAGTCTCCAGGGGCCTTCTCTGTGCAGATGCTCCTGGAAGCGATGGCTTTGCCCAGCCATGGGCTGAAGGTGGCAGTGCCCTGGTCACTCTGGGGGGCAGCAGCCAATCCCAATAGGGCAGTGTTCCCAGTGCCCCTGTCACTTCAGGGCTGCCTGCTTTTCCAGTGGGAGGGAGGAAGGGTCTGGGAGCAGCAGCTGGTTGGCCCGGGCCCCAGGCAGGCTGCCCTGCATGGCACTGCCTGCAGGTTTTCAGCTGACTGCATCCTGGGCACCATCGATTTCCTGTCCACTAGCAGCCTTGTGGCCGACGTGGCAGCTCGTTGTCCCCAGACCCTCTGTCCCTTCTTCCCTGGGAGAGCCCAGGCCATGGTTGGTCGGGTCTGCCTGTTGAAGGGGAGAGCCTGTGTCCCTGGAAGTGCTGGATTCCATAGTGTACCTGAGAGTCAGTTTTGGAGGCAAAGTGGAAAGTGGTTGCTGGCAACCTTCTTGGCATCATGAGGGGAGTTGGTCTTAAGCCAGCACAGCTGATGGCATACAGAGCAGAGAAAGAGTCCGAGCCGAGGGCATCAGGGACTCCGGGCTGTGGGCTTGCTGCCCACTCTGCTTCTGGACACCAGTGCCCTGAACTGGCACATCTTTTTATTGATATTATTATTTTAATTTGAGAGGCAGAGTGGCACACACATGACACAGGTCTGCTGGTTCGCTCCCCAGAGGCCTCCAGCGGCTGGGGCTTGGCCGAGGGCACAGTTAGGTCTCCCACATGGTGGCTGGAGCCCGGATACTTGAGCCGTCACCCGCTGTCCACCAGGGTCTGCATGGGCAGGAGGCTGGAGTTGGGAGCTGGAGGTGGGAATCGAACCCAGGGCCTGTACAGTGGAATCAGGCAAAATGCCTGCCCCTGCACTCTAAGTCCTTGTTACCTGGGGCCAGCAGTGACCCCATCCCTCCACCCCTCACAGCCCTGACTAGGTACCCAGAGATTGACCCAGGGTCCGAGAACCCAGAGGGGTCGTCTTTAATGTCATTCACATCATGTTCCCTACCTCAGTGTTTTGGGGTCCTCTGGAGTTGGGAGATCAGGGCTTCCAGTGAGGCCTGGCTCTTTGTCACCTTGGGGTGGGGGGACACGTGGTCCTCTGGACCTCTGTTCATTTGAAAGGCAGAGTTGCAGAGAGAGAGAGAAGAGTCGGAGAGAAAGCTCTTCCATCCATACACTGGTTTACTCCCCAAATGACCACAACAGCTGGAGTTAAACTGATCTGAAGCCAGGAGCTAGGAGCTTCTTCAGGTCTCCCGTGTGGGTGCTGGGGCCCAAGCACCTGAGCCATTCTTTCGCTGCTTTCCCAGGCCATAAGCAGAGAGCTGGATGGGAAGTGGGGCGGTTGGGATTTGAGCTGGTGTCCATATAGGATGCCGGTGTGACAGGTGGAGGGTCAGTCTACTGCGCCACGGCACCAGCCCCCTGGGCACCCTTTCTTCGCAGAGGTGTTGCTCAGCTCGCCCATGCGTGGGGCGCAGGTGTCTGGTGAGCCTCTTCCATGGGTTACCCACGCTGCTGCTGCTGACCTGTGGGAGGAATTCCTCTCACTAAACTCCAGGGTCTTATGGGCTTGGTGTGTTTGCCACATGTGGCGCGGGGCCTGCAGTGCTTGGCACACGGTTTCTGTCAGTGACCCTGGCCATAATCCAGGGTCAGGAGCTGGCATGACCCTTGGCTCTGTGGTGGGGCTGGCGAACTGAGCTGAGGATAATGGTGGTAACTGTGGCCTTGGCTGTGGCTGTGACCAAGAGAGAGAATGGCTGTATTTGAAAATCAAGCTGACTCAGATGCTGTTGCTATGGGTCTTATGTAAGCTCCCCGGGGCTCCATGGAAGGCGGCGGGGAGACGATCGAGTCAAGGGCCAGCACTTCTCAGTGTCATGTCTGGTTTTGGACGCAACTGCAAGCTGGGTTTGGCACTGTGGCTCAACAGGTAAATCCTCCACCTTCAAGTGCTGGCATCCCATATGGGTGCTGGTTCGTGTCTGGCTGTTCCACCTTCCATCCAGCTCCCTGCGATGGCCTGTGTGCACTTGGCAGAAGTGAGTTGGCTGACCACTTTTCTAATCTGCCCTGGGTGTTAGGTAAGAATGCTGCGTGCCGGGCTGTGGGCTGCCACCTTGAACTGCTGAATGACGTCAGAAAAGCGTGATGGGCCAGGGGACGGGTGGAACAGGCCGCAGCTGTCCAGGCCACTGGCACACACACTCATTTCCCAATCACCCTGAGCATCTTTGGGCTCCCTCTCACTGGTCTGCCCTTAGGGGCTCTTGTTGTGTGCCTGCATTTGTGGCAGAGCTATGGCGGAGGGTGCTGGGAGACGGTGCAGGCGCCCGGGTTTGGCGGCCCCTGAAGAGCAAGGTGCAAGTGCGGGTGCGTGCAGCTCAGGGGGTCACCTGCAGCCTCACACCCCCATGATCAATGCAGGCCCAGAATCTCATTCCTTTGATTGACAGTAGATTGCACATAATGCAAGGTGGTGTGGGGGGCTTGAGGCTTTGAGGCTTTTTCTGCTTTCTCAACCAGGAGCTCTATGTTTTCACTTAGTCCTGGTCCCCCCACAGTTCACAGCTTTGCTCCTCGTGGCAGTAGAGAAAGGTGGGGTGGAGCTCTTGGCCCTGCCCCCTTCCAGCACGGCTTCGATGGTGGAGGAGCACTACTGTGCAGTGGTCAGCCGTTTCCCCGTTGGGCAGCCTGGGGGCTCCTCCCCTGCAGCGGAGGGGAGCGTCTATACAGTGGAAAGGCACGCAGTGCAAAGCTGGTGCCTGGGTTCGTGATAACTGCACCAACGCACAGTTGTCTGTTGATGATGCATTCCCGCAGTCTTTGAAGCACCTTGAGTTTTCCTGAGCCAGGATCTTAGTTCTGCTGGGTGTGTTCTCGGGTTT